CGACCCCCCCTTATCCCAGCCCCGTCCCCCCCACCCGGGGCTTGTCTCCAGCTTTGGAGACGGGGGAGTAAGGGGTGTCGGGGGTACACACGCCCCGCATGCCTTCGCGGAGAGGAGAGGGGCCCCGGCAGACAGACAGCCGTCGTAAAAAGCAGCTTTTAAAACAGAACAGCATTTTAACTGCTTTTTTACACTTGCCACAGGAATTCACAGGCGCTGGAGCTGACGAGCTGCTGTTCGGTGACGGCTCTGTGAAACACCTCGATGTGTGGCACAAGCAAACCGCCCTGCCTCCTCCGGCTGAGCCCCGCGTCGAGGCTGGGCGCAGCCTGGGAAACGGAGCAGGGAGCCCAGGCCTGGCCAGGCTCAGTGGGAGCAAAGCACGGCAGGCAATTCCTTCTTTTCACTTAAAAAGGTCATGGGCACCTTGCGACTTGACCTCTAAAGCGGACATATCCCTGGGATTTCTTCCCTTTCCTCATCACTCATGGTGCTCAGTTGGTTTTTTGAACATCTGAAGTACAGTAGGATCATAGGAGAATTTGGGTTGGAAGGGATGTTCATTGCATCTATTTGCTCGTTCTAACACTGTACACGGGAAGCTTAAACTCAGGGCTATAACTGGCTATGCGCGTCCGTCTGTGTGTCTGTCTATATCTGTGTGCCCTTCATGCACCATATGGGCGTCCTGCCTGTATGCATGCGTGTGTCTATGCGTGCACTCTCTGATGCTGGAAAACAAATAGTGCTGGGCCCCTTTGGGGCTGACATTATCAAACACAGAGCAGAGTATCCTTCGGCAGGCTGGAAGCAGAGGGGAAAAAAAATATCGACTGCAAAAAGAGCGTGAAGGAGGCAGTCTGGGTTGTGCCCTGCCCTGGCCTACCCTGCCCTGCCCTGCCCTGCCCTGCCCTGCCTTGCCCTGCCCTGCCCTACCCTGCCTTGCCCTGCCCTGCTTGCTCAGTGGCCCAGCTCCAGTTTTCCAGACAGGCAAGAGCGCGGGAGCTGTTAAACTGAGGAGACCCTGGCACACGGGATCCTGTCTCACTCCGAAGCACTGCCTACGCTAACCAGCTCTGCAACAGCAAATTTTTTTCAAAGCATGCATCTTTGTTTATATTTCTCTTCCCACCTCTTCTCTATTTTGCTTATCTGGTAGGTTTCCTTGCTCGATTGTTGCACACTACTGACATCTCCCCCTGTCTTAAACTTTCTGGGATCTTGATAGCAGCGGCCAGGCAATGACCCTGCCCCATCGCGGCTCATCCCAGCTCTGCATGCCCCAAAGAAGCAGGTTTGGCCCCTGCAGTTGATTTCCTACAGTTGCCTCTCCTCTGTGCCCCGCTCCATAACTGCAAAAATCTTTGCTGTTTCTCATGTCTAAACCCCCTCACTGACGTGACCGGTAGCTTAAAAACCATCATCAAGCAACACAAAAGCAGAGAAAACTCAGGCCCTGCTGATCGCCTTGCCTCCACGTGCTTGGGGACCGAATCCCAGAGACACGATCCCCATTTTCCTTCCCTTCGACCCAAATTAATCCTTCCTGTCGATTACTGTCGTTAATGATCAGACCTTAAATGAAAATTTAACGGGCATAGTTGCCACCAAAAATAAACACAATCACAGCTCATTAACTCAAAAGCGAAGTCTACTGTGAAACTTCCTAAACTAGGGCATATTCGAGCCCGCTCTCGAGTGACATACTGTTGTAGGTTGGGGCTAATAATAAGATTATGATCCTCTTCATTAGCAAGTATTTTGTTACACCAAAAATCTCGTGAATGGATATGTCTGTCTTGGCAAAATGTGAGAATCCCAGCCTTTGATCTCAAACCTCCATTTAGCATCGCTGCTTTAAAAAGACAGATTTATTTTAAGGCGCCTGTGCTCATCTCCTGTGGAAAAACATGCCAGGGAGGGAGCACTTGCCCAGGAAGATTTGCTGCTCGCCGGGGGTTTGGTTCGTTTGAGCCGCATCCCTGCAACTGAGGTGGGGGAGCAGCTGCTGGTACCCCATCCTGGTACCCATCTGAGCGCCTGGTGGCTCCTTCCTGGGGATGCGAACGGAAGGATGGAGGGAGGCTGCGCCATTTCGGCTAGCAAAAGGGCAGCCAAGGGTGCGGAGTCGAGGAGGAGCGATAGCAAAGACCGTGCAAGAACAAGTAGGTGTAATTAACACATCCGTGCTGGATATTTGTGGCGGTACCTTTCCCCCGGGTGCCATCACCCCCAGGCAAGGGAAGGATGGGGTGAGGGGGCTCATCCCTAGTGGGACCCCCACCCTACCACTGGGGCAGCGGTGGCCCTGGCAGGTTTTGGCTTGGGCAGACTCCCGCAGTCCCAAGCAATGGTGCCAGCCACCAGCCAATCCCCAGGGATGGGCACCCGGCCGCCGGGCCTCGGCAGGCTGGGGCGGGAGCTGCGTCCTGCTCGCGTGGGGAGGTGTGCGTGGGGGAACTGGTCCTTCGGGAGGGAGCTGCTCTGCCCAAACCCTGGGAGAGAAGCTGTGCAGCGTTTCCTCCTCAAGTTAAGGTGCAAATCCCCTGAGTAATCCTCCAAACGTATTTTTCTCGTGCAGGGAACAGTCCCAGATTTTTTTTTTCCCCAACTCAGAGCATCGCTGCCTCTTCTTCTTTTGTTCCACAGGCAGAGGAAGAACAGCATGAAATTTAAAGCAGACAGAAGAGAAATAAAAGTTCCTGGTATACGATTTGCAGTTTACCACCTCTAGTTAACCCCTGTGCTCATGCTTTGCCTTTTGTGTGGGCACATATCTGTTTTCCTTGGAGAGTGCGGGGAGCGCATCTTTTGCCATTTGATTGATTAGGTGACAAGAGAGAAAAACAGGATTTTTTTAGACAGATGCAAATCCGTACAAACAGCCCCGCATTCAGCAGCTCCAGACGCTCGCTGTGGAGCGCAAAGATGAGTGCAACAGCCAGTGTTTACAGGGCTTAGGACAAAAAAATGTGACTTGCCTTTCACCGGCTGAATTCTTCATTTGCAATAAAGATGACGATGATACTAGTGTCTGAGCTCAGTCTCCTCTCTAAATAACATGTGTGTGCTCAGCTGGATTAAGCCAACTTCCGAGACTGGAAATCATAATAACAGTCTTTTACAGGACAGCCTTTCTGGTTGTCTAATACTATTATCCTCTGGGCTGAAAAGCATTCCAGAGTACTTGGAGTGCTACGATGAATGTGAGGTTGCTTAGCTGATAGTACTGGCTTGTCTCAAGGAAGCACATTTTCTCATTATTTTTCAGTTTAAAGAAAAAGTTTAGAAGGAGAAATGGAAATATTAAAAATGAGAAGGATTTGGCGATGCTGTGTGCCCTTCCGTAAGTCTCTTGTGGTGCCTTATGCATTTTATCTTCATTTTCTAAGTGTCCCAAATAGTTATTTGAACTCTGTGATGGCCTGAACAGAAATTCATGAGGGCTACTGAGACTGGGCACCTGATTCACTGCTCTGCTTTTCCATGGGTTTACACCACCATAACTCGGTGCTGATTCAGGTCCCACTTACTTGATGTCTCTTCAAAATAACCAAAGTCCTTTGGGGAAAAAAGTCCTAGAGAAAAAGAAAATCTTGGGTTTGGTATTTAACCCGTGACAGCCTGAGGATTTTGAGAAACTCTTTGCTGGCAGTGAGACCAAAGGATGAAAAACCACACACGTATGTCATCAGCACAGCTCTCGTCTCTGCGGTCGCCCTGAACATTGTGGTACCCCGGGGATGCTCGCTTTTCCTCCTCTCCCCCCCTGCCCCATGCGCGGGGTGTGCCGATGCCGTCTTCCCTTCTTTGGCCTGCAGCACACAAAATTTCAGACACCAAAACCATTGTTTTTCCTGGTAGGCTGTGAAATTCTCCTTGGAAAGCCCTGGAATGTCCCTTGCTCTGATGCTACTCTCTGGAGAAGATGGGCATCCCCGTTTGCTCTGCTTGGGGTACATCCCCGGCAGGATGGCACGGCGCAGCTGAGCTGGCCCCGCTTGAAAGGGTGGCCTGAAGTGTGCTCAGTGCAGGACCTTGCTCATCCCAAATCCTTCCTCTCCTCTCCTGCGGTCGGGTGAGGACATATGGCCCATCGCGATGCTCTTCCTCACCCCAGGACACTAAAGGCTGATTTGTTTTTCCCCAGGGCTGAATCCCATCTATCCATATGTCTTCATCTTATTCTTCTTAATTTAGCTAGTGGCTGTGCCTTCTGTTTTCCTTGAATTAAAGAAATAAAATAAAATAACTAGCTGTCATTACATGCTTTCATTCCTACCTTTAACGATGCGGTCTCTTTTGTAGCTCTTCTGTGTAAATTGCTCATAGGCTACTTTCTTTCTTAACCTCCAATGACAGCTTTGTGCTTTGGAGGTAGTTATTATCTTAAACAACTTGGTAGCATCAATCTGTTTCTTTCCCAGAGGCTTCTTTACACTTTGATGAGAAATTTGCAAAGTTTCTTTTTGCTTTGCAGCAAAGGCCGAGCCTGGTTGTTTTTTTTTTTTTTTCCCTCATCCAAAAGCACCCATGAATCAACTGTATTTCTCTTTTTCGATCTATGCACTGTTCTTCTAATAATTTCATGACCCGACTTTAGAGAATATTTCCAATGAGATGGTCCCAGAGGCGCCTGCAGCGCCAGAGTGTTTTTCACAAAACCAATTTCTTGAAACTTATATTTTACTCACCCTTCTGACAACACTTAAACTTTTTTTTTTTTTTGCTTTCATTACCTTTGTGAGACATTTGTGCGGGTTGATTCCAGCAAGTTTAATCCTTATTCACCTACACGCTGTTCTTTCATTTA